AAACTCCGCTAAATGAAGTTGGTCCTCTCGATCCACTGTCAGCTAGTCTGTACAACCACTGGACTAGCACCATATAGCCATATCAGCACGGTGTAAGAACACAGACCCTTGTCAGTTCGATTTTACATTTACATAGTAAGTACACTAACTGAAAACCGCTGCAGTTTTAACTTCCAAATCGAGTCCCATCGAGATAAACATCTGTGGCTTCGGATTTGCGATCGCCGTTAGTAATTCTGGGACAACCAGTTCGATTCTAGCTGCGGATGATGGACAATAGACCTCTTTGCGTACTAGTAGTAGTGTTTTAGTAGTAGTAGCAACAGTAGCGATGGCGGTTCTAGCGGTGGTAGTGTCAGTGGTGGTAGTAGTGTTAGTTGTGGTGGTGGTAGTAGTAGTGGCAGTAATAGTTCTAGTAGTAGTATCAGTAGTTGTTGTTGTTGTTGTTTTTGTTGTTATTGTTCTATTTGTAGTAGTAGTAGTAGTAGTAGTAGTAGTAGTAGTAGTAGTAGTAGTAGTAGTAGTAGTAGTAGTAGTAGTAGTAGTAGTAGTAGTAGTAATAGTAGTAGTGGTAGAAGAAGAAGAAGAAGAAGACGTTGCTGTACCGGCAGCAGTAGTTGTGACTGCATGTACATCAGTACGCCTATATCATCTAATGCATAGATATATTTATAGAAGTATTTCTGTATGTATATATTTGTGCGGATACCAGCTAATGCATATACATATAGACATACAAGAGTGAATGTATACATGCGTGTACACTTGCATCGGCTAATGTTTATAGATATGTAAATAGTTGTAAATGTATGTGCGTGTGCCCGTCTGTATCAGTTAATGCATAGACATGTAGAAGTGCATCTATATGTACATGTGTGCACCTCTGTTTTAGCTAATGTATAGACAGGTATTTATGCTTGCCTGAGTGTGTGTATGTATATGTGTGTGTATGTGTTTTTGTGTGTGTATGTTTGTGTGTGTGTATGTGTGTATGTGTAGGCTTGTATCCCCTGATGAAATCAGCAATGTCTTGCTGTCGAGGCTTAAAACGTCTGTCATTTAAAAAACATCTTTAAAGGGACTCTATTAGCCAAGCAGATTATTTTGAAAATACAGAGTTGTTTCCCTTGAAAAAAATTAATAGTTTGTTTACAGAAAGGTGACTAAAGCTTTGATTACTTATAGAACGAATGTACGTCGTGCTAGGCCTCTTATCAGCCAGTTGTAGTGCTTGCCTTTTTTAAAAACAGCGATTGACCAACCGGTCTGCAAGAATTTAATTTATATTCTGGTATTAATAGCCATAATAATTATTACTGAGCAAGTCAGGTTTTAAAACGCACAAACACACACACACACAGACCTGCACACACAAACACGCACACATTTTAAACATGTGTGTGTGTGTGTGTGTGTGTGTTTGTCGGCTCTGTGGCTAAGTCGATGAGAACGCTTCGTAATGCCAGGGTGCCAGGCTCGATCCCAGCTGCGGGCCATGCGCCTTGCGTTGGTTTCGACAGTGGTATCAGGGTGCCGACCGTTCAGAAAGCAATGGCAAACTACTGGACGTAATTGGCCTAGAGAAGCCACATAACAGCCAGGGGCTGCTAGGGTTGGTTCTGCAACGTCCTGTAAAGCATACGCAACTAACCAGTGTGTGTGTGTGTGGGGGGGGGTGATTTTTTAAACCTCGCTCTCCCCATACTGCTAATTAATATAACTGCCTGCCTATCTGTCCGTCTCTACGTTCTTCCAAACATGTCAAGAGAGAGAGAGAGAGAGAGAGAGAGAGAGAGAGAGAGAGAGAGAGAGAGAGAGAGAGAGAGAGAATGTGTGCGTACGTGTGCACATACACACAGATTTATTATCACTTTTTTTTTTCTCCAATCCTTGTAGCACCCGTGTATGGACCAGATACAATACTGTATCCAGTGGATATTAACAAAGTCTGTGGATGCAGTGACTATATCCCAGGAGCCACGTTAAAGAGTCGACACACCCCACACAAGTACTTAGGCTTCAAGGATTCCTCACTCATTCCTTTACCACCGAAGGACGCCCCCATCCCACCACTTTTTGGCTAATAGAGCCAGCATAAATCTTTCAGCTCCATAAAGTTACCATACATTTTTTTTTTTTAATCTAATGAAAGCGTGCTATCTTATCATACAAAAATATTATAGAATGTAATTAGACCAAACAAAAATTACCACTTGGGTAGCCGCATTTTTTTTTTTTAACTTAAAGCTGATTAAAAATAAAAGTGAGAAAACGAGTGAAGTCTTGTTTTGATCGGACGGGGAATAGACAACAAGCGCCGTGTGTTTCTTGGGTTCGAATCCACATCGAGTCGATTTTTTTTTCATAAATAATCTTTGGCTCTTAGGTCGAGCAGCTCAACACGGGTACAAAGTAATGTCATGGGAAGGAAAGGCGGCCGTCGTAGTGATGACTAGATCACCCACCGAGTGCCGACTGGTCTGGAGAAACAAAAATCCAGTCTCATTTTTTCGAGATGCCACCGGCCTTAAAAATTGCCCTTCACTTCACTTCTCTTTACTTTAGGTTTACATTACTTTTTTTTTTCTTTACTTTACTGATGTTACTTTGCATCACGTTTTACTGGGTAATGGAAGATTTAACAAACCTTTCTTACCATATTCAGTGATCAGTTACTGTTGGTTGTTGTTTTCTTACTATTCTGATATTTATTTGTTGTCGCGTGAGTCGGAAATTCAACGCAAAGTCCACAAGCTGTTATGTCAAATGCTTGCTCTTTGCTTAATCCCATTAACTGAACACTGAACAGTACCGTACACCTGGCTGATACAAACAAAATAACAACACAAAACGAATGTTTATTTCCCCCACACTTTTGCTCTACATTAATATGAAAACCTTCACCAAACATATTTCTATCTCAATAACCTGTAGTCTGCATCGCGCCATGGTAAGGTAAAGTAAAGGTGAGAGGGTCGACTTCATTGCACCGGATTTGATCCCATATGGCTCAGTCTCTCTCCGCAGAAAAGCTAGCTGCCTACCGAGAGTGTCGCAGGGGCACGACCTCCAGCGGCAGTCCCCACAGATCTGCGTAAAAACTGCACTCGTGAGCTGAACTGCTCCACCGTAAAACAAACCCACGACCTTAAGAGCGCAAGGCAGATGGTTTGACCACTTCGCTACAGAGACCCACCCCTATCCCCTCCCGCCATAGAAAGCAGTTATGCATCGATCGGCGCCTTGTCCCTTCTGGGATGCTAACTGAAGGTAACGCTTCCTTTAGATTAAATTATCAATCTATGTGGTAGACCTATAGGCCAGATCTCAGATACACCTTCAACCTCTAAAGAGGTTATAACTAGGGCACCGGTATTTGCCCGGCTTAACCTGAAGTACTGTACAGGTGAGGACGATCAAAAGCGGCGTGTACAGTAGCTCAAAGATACCTTCGCCTTGTCGTAGATCGTTATGTGTGGAATATGTTACATGTAGTGTTGAATATAATCAATAGTTTAGCACTCCTGATACGCCTATTTATAACCCGACCCACATACACCTGTATAAAGCATATCATTTACATACCACACGCTCGCAATAGGCATAATGCAGAGACATATCATTAACTCATAAAGTATTTGTTTATCGAAATAAACTAGTACCAGCAATTGATGGATTATCGTTCAACCCCACCAGGACATCACACAAAGTGTCACCATTCGGATGAAGATCAACGGGGACATGTTCCCAAAACCCCGTTCAACAAATAGGTTGGGTTATATTAGGGCCTCCGGCAGCAGCCGAAGTGGGGCTTTAAAATAACAAAGATCTGTTCCCCATATTGAGACAAATTCATTGATTATAGTACCAGCGACTTTAGCAATTATCAACATAGTTTCTATAGAAACTGCAAAAAATGGGGTGCTGGAAAGAGAATAAGGAAACAGATGAACCTTCGATATGTCTTTGGTGGAACTTGTCAGCTGATAATTCTTTGCTTTCCTTTTCATTAAGTACTTTGACAACTGGTGTGGGCGACCGTGCCTCTTCACAATCTGCGATCTTCAGCATGTATCAAATTTTTGCCTTGACACCCCTCTGTGTCAAGAATCGTCTCGCGTTGTCTTTCTCTGACGATTGTCTCCGTCTAATGTTTGATCTCCTATTCAATGATAAAGACAGGTCTAGAAGTTCGATGTATCAGCGTATGTTTTTTTCCTTTCGCCCATTTAGCTTCCTAGTTATAATTTGTGTTGTTTTAATATGTATTGGTATCAATCACATCGATATACAGAGGCCTGTGGAAAAATTATGAACATAAAATGAGAGGAATTCAAGAAGGATGAAGAAATAAGAGAAACTGGGCAACCACTCGTATTGACAGGTATAAGACAGAAGAGATATAACTATACTGAACACATTATGGGAAGAGACAAACAAAGAATCACAAACCAGGCACTGAAATGGGAATATTATGGATTGAGGAAACGAGGACTTCCAAGACAAACCCTAAAGAGAATGTTGAGGAGAAAAGCCAAATGTGCTGGACTTGTTTCCATCAATGATATCTAAGTGGTTACATAGGATAGAAAGGAATGGAGAAATAGACTACGAGCCCTATGGGACATAAAACAGCACAATAGGACAATGATTTAATTGGTATACTCACGACTGTAGTATTAATATTTTTGACATAATTTTTGCATTCCTCCATTTTATTTACCAAAGTAATTCTAGGTCATTTCTACGTTTTCCCACATGGAACAACATTTTGTTAATTCAGCTTAAGAAATGGAAGCATAAACAGATTTGGTCTTATAAAAATACTTTCTTCAAATAAAGTTGACCCTCTTCTCCCTATCTATGCTCTGACTACAAACAGTAGCTTTGTCAACATCACGTATACAGCTTCTTCAGCATGACGTACTGCCAATTCAGGCTATAAAGTTAATTCATCGCAATGCTCCTAATTAGCATTACGCAGCTGGTCTTGCATTCTTCTAATGAACATCTATCTCTTCTGCCTCTAAACTGTCGATTCCCTGACTATAAACTACGTGACTTTTCCTAATCCGTTCATGCAGTTTCTGAAAACAAATACTCAACGTCCATAATAGCAAGTGTACCAATGGAATAAATACAAAATTGGATAAGGATGTTATGATTAATGTTCGACCAGGTCTGGACCAATCAAGAATCGAGTAAATATATGTCTCGCCATTCTGATTGGTTCCTTCGAGGCTGTAGTATATGAAGCTGAAGAAAGTGTAGATAACTCCAAAGGCCTACCGGATAAATAAAATGCAGCAGGCGAAAGGGAAGTCGGGTGAACGCCATGTTGAGGATGACGTAGATAGCAGCTATGGCGTGCGTGTTGAATCTGATTGGTGTGAGCGTTTTACCTGAAAGATAAATGTGATTATATGATGCATTATAAGCATGAAACATGCACAAGTAAAGTTCTAATAGAAAATCGTTTTTAATCTAGGATTAGCAGTTTTAAAAAAAATTTGCAAATAAAATATCTTGTTTTGTACTCATTGATTGGATGTTCTCAATCAGCAGGCATAAATGTTTAACATTCTTTTATATGAAATATGTTTTCACTATCTTTCCAACTTTGAGAATGAGGTGGGACAGACAGGCGGATAGATGGACAGATAAATGGATGTATAGACAGACAGACAGACAGACAGACAAACAGACAGGCACACAGACACAGACACACAGATACACACAGACACACACACACAGACACACACACACACACAGACACACACACAGACACACGCACGCACGCACGCACCCACCCCCACAGACAGACAGACAGACAGACAGACAGACAGACAGACAGACAGACAGACAGACAGACAGACAGACAGAGAGACAGACAGACAGAGAGACAGACAGATAGACAGACAGATAGACAGACAGACAGACAGACAGACAGACATAGACAGACAGACAGACAGACAGACAGACAGACAGACAGACAGACAGACAGACAGACAGACAGACAGACAGACAGACTAGACAGACAGACAGACAGACAGACAGACAGACAGACAGACAGACAGACAGACAGACAGACAGACAGACAGACAGACAGACAGACAGACAGACAGACAGACAGACAGACAGACAGACAGACAGACAGACAGACAGACAGACAGACAGACAGACAGACAGACAGACAGACAGACAGACAGACAGTAGATAGATAGATAGATAGATAGATAGATAGATAGATAGATAGATAGATAGTGATAGTTTGTCTGATTATTTTCAGTAATATTTCGCTGTGAATGAACCAGAGCACTACTGCTGTAAACATTGACTTTTAATGGGACGTCTTCATTTACTCCTAATGTTTTTTAAATGAAATACTTTAGTTCTTTGCAACTATTTAATATGCATACACCGACCAATTAGCATCTACAATTAATTAGTATCATATATTTTGGAATTGTCGCCACACATTCACAAACTGCAGCAGCATGTTTTCCTGGAAGAGTCTTTATCCGTTCACAGACTATTTCATCAGCGGCGTTTCCTGTCTCTGTGTGATCACGTAATGAAACCGCGCACACACACACACACACACACACACACACACACACACACACACACACATATACACACCGACACACACACACTCATACACACCTGTTTGCACTTTCTGGCCACCTTGTGCGTGCTAATTTAATATCCATTCAAAGCTAAACTTTCCTTTGGCCATTTTATCATCATAATCGACGTTACTGCACACATTCTCGTAAGTGCTTATTCCTCTGAGGCAGCAACCATCCAAAGTTGCCTCTGTTGTTTGATCCTTTGATTCTTAATACTTTAAGTAAGGAAGCTGTTTTAACCAAATCTTGTTAAGCTATCCTGTCAAATTTCTATACATTTAGCAAAGAATGTAAATTACCTAAAATTATAGTAAGTGCTCTAACCTTTATGTATACACGCCCAGTACCAAACGGCGACCACAACAGCCCCAACCGCAGACACTGTGTACAGTAACCACATCAGCTGCAGGTGCCAAGGAAGGTGTTCCTCTGGTGAAACAATCAGAAACGAATGTAGTCGGGTTTAATCATGGACAATTATAACTGTAGAGGAAATTTATATCATCCAGAAAATATACTGTCGACGCTTGTATTCGCTTGTTCTTCTTGTTCTTGTTCTTGTTATTTTTTTTCTTCTTCTTCCTCTATTTTTTTTTTTTGGGGGGGGGGGGGGGGGGGTTCTTTTTCTTCGTCTTCTTTCCTTCTTTCTTTCTTCTTTCTTTTTCTTTTCTCTTCTTTCTTTTCTTTCTTTCTTTCTTTCTTTCTTTCTTTCTTTCTTTCTTTCTTTCTTTCTTTCTTTCTTTCTTTCTTTCTTTCTTTCTTTCTTTCTTTCTTTCTTTCTTTCTCTCTCTTTCCTTTTCCAGCCATCTCTCCTAATTCTAGCCTAAAACTAGTAGGACTAGTATACTTACCAATGGGACGCTAATATCAGGTCCTGGCCAAAAGCTGAATTCCAAATGGAAGAACAACCAGAACTTTCAGAGTATAGTGCGTAATGAGGGAATAGACTGCGAGTCTTATGAGACACAGTGACACTGTAAGACAATGATGATGATGTTTGCCAGATAATATGCTCGCTCATTGCCTCGAACACCAGCACGAAAATACAGGTTATGTGAGTTGCTCGTGATGGAAATAATGAAGGAATTCATTCCTGTCTGATAAAGCCGGCCTGGATTATCGTGAGTACATTCAATGAGTTCCCCAGTACCCACGCATGTGTCTGGGAATCTTCAGTACCCATCTATGCTAATGCCCTGGTTGCAGCCACGGTTCACAGCAAAAGCCACCACTCATCTTCTTGGGGGTTTTCCCCACTTGCGCTCGCAGTGGGTATCTATGTATTTCTCTTACCCGGGATGACCGACTGACTCATCCTTGTAAACCACATCATCGTCTAGACATGTTCTCAGATCAAACAGCGTTTCCAGTAAAGTGTCCACTAGGCAGCAATTGGTTATCTGTAGATTCTGTGAAGAGTAATTTGGACCGTAGTGCTGATGCTTGTAGCAGCAGGCCCATTTGTCCACTAATTTAGTGTCGGCAAAGCTACAAATCTGCTGGATGGCATCTTCCTTCTCTGTAGTTTTCAACTGTTTTGAACAAGACAATATAGTATGGTCCGGTTTGTCATATTTTTTATTATTCATTGTAGCTGAGCGGCAATCACTGTCACCAACCTTTCTTCTATAAGGTAAAATGGCCTGGCTCAACAGTTCCAGACATTTCTTTTAAAAGTTGTCATATTTTTATTATTCATTGTAGCTGAGGGGCAATCACAGTCACCAACATTTCTTCTACAAGGTAAAAAAGCCTGGTTCAATAGTTCCAGACATTTCTTTTAAAAGTTGTCATATTTTTATTATTCATTGTAGCTGAGGGGCAATCACAGTCACCAACATTTCTTCTACAAGGTAAAAAAGCCTGGTTCAATAGTTCCAGACATTTCTTTTAAAAGTAACACGCTCTGGGTCCTTGGTGTTTGTTTTCTGTTGATCAGTCTGTATAAATAGTAATAAAGTGCTTAAGCCTTAGAGACTGGCTTATCAATAATGCGCCCGTCGTAAACTTTTTTATAAGTTCGGCTGATTTGCATTTTACCACTATTCGCTGGCACGTTTTCCCTATATGTTGATACATGGTTCCATCATCCAACAACTGCGTCAAATGTGTGTTGTGACACTATAAGCTGTTAAATTCAAATGTAAAGATTTGTCTGTGCTCCGTGTAGTTTCGGTCCAGCCTAAAACTGGCACCAGGATGTATGTCATGGGGAAGTAAAGACAGCCGGAGTAATGACAACATTACCCATTCAGTACCGATTGGTCTGAAAAATATGAGTGCTCTTCCCATATGTCCGATGCGCCTAAGAGCGGGAAAAGGAATCTTAACTTTTTTTTTTTTTTTTTTACTCAGTGTGGTTTGTGCTGAAAATGGTTTTTGGCCTGATGCCACAAAAGTGACTTATACACCAATGCACGTACAGATGAGTCAGTCGTAACTGCTTATTTCGTGGCTGATGAACTACAGTTCTAGTGTGTATGCATACTGTTGACTATTAGGCTAATGCTGTCTGTATAACTTTTCACATGCGACAGTGATAGACGTTTTGTGTTCTTTTCGCTAGCGCAAAGAGTAGTGTCACACAATGACAAAATGCAGCCGAATCACAGAGAATAGAGATTGTACACCGCCCTGTTTAGAAAACATTGATTAGCTCCTCTATTAGAGTCACATCTGACGTTTTCGCTTTTATTCATGCATCCTAAATTCAGATAACTCGGAGTAGCGAAATTGCTATCCAGCAAATCAACCTGTCCATTGATCATGTGTTCGAATCCAGCTTGAAGAAGGTATTTATAAACTTGAGGCCTAACACCTGCACCGAGAATCATATGGGAAGTAAAGAGGTCTGCGTGCTATCGACCACACCATCTAAAAAATGTCGTTTGATGTACATGAAAACGATCTCAAAACCATAAACTCAGAAAGCCTCAAAATAATGAAAATGCGTCTATGTGTTTAACTTTCGGCGACGCTCGGCTTAGTTGAGTTGAATGTTTCAGTGATTTCCACTGTTTACATAAATAAATTAACATGAAAGCATTTAGTAAAAACAAACAATTTGTGTGGGTAATCTGCTTTTAAAATATTAGTAATCTGCTTGTAAAATCTCATCAGTCTTCTCCTACACACAAAAGGTCTGTTTATTTTACTGACGACGAGAATTCAGACAATTAGAAAGAGGCTTCACGTTTCACTTGCTTTCTCATTGCTGACGTGCCGGTGAGGATCAGCATAGTCTGGGTGTGGCTAATTTGGCACCAGGAGCTTGGTCCTGGTGGCTGTTTGCAAATCGCCTGGACATTCTCTCATATGTTGTGAAACTGAAGACAACTGAAGCAGTCCCAGTGTGTGAATAATGTTAG